GCTCCCGTTTCGCTGGGCGGCTACAACTACGACTACGAAACGGAGACAATCCGGCGGAGATTCAGGCAACTGAAGCTGGAGCGGAAGTGCCAGGAGGACTACATCGGCATTGTCCTGTCGCCCAAGACAGTGATGACCAACAGCAATGAGCAGCAGTACCGGTACCTCATCGTGGAACTGGAACCCTATGGCATGGCACAGAAGTGAGTAGGGAGAAAATCATTTTAACAAATCCTTCTTTAAGGGACGATTTCTATATGTCATGTTAGCTTTTGAGTTGGAGTAAAATTGCTGGTTTGGAATAAACGGTTCACTCAAAGTATTAGTTGTATTTGTTGGTCGGCAAGAGGTTTGACCATTTAACCTTATCACAAATAGCCAACCAGTAGCTTTACAACACATTGAGAAATCGGCTTTTAAATCATAAAATCATCAACATCTAACTTAAACCCTTTCCTTTAGGGATGGCCGTCTTCGCCTGGGCGACGAGATTGTCAATGTGAACGGAAAGCACCTGCGCGGCATCCAATCCTTTGCCGAGGTCCAGCGCCTGCTGAGCAGCTTTGTGGACAACTGCATCGACCTGGTGATTGCCCACGATGAGGTGACCACGGTCACAGACTTCTACACCAAAATCCGCATCGATGGGATGAGCACGCAGCGCCACAGGCTAAGCTATGTGCAGCGCACCCAGAGCACCGATAGTCTGACCAGCATGCAGAGCCTGCAGCTGCAGCAGGAGAGGATTCAGGGTCAGAACATGCAGGACCAGCAGCAGGGGACGGACGCCCAGGGCGAGGATCAGTGTGATGCACGGTCCATGGCCAGTGTGAGCACCATGCCCACTCCGATGCCACTGATGCAGCATCGCAGGAGCTCGACGCCCAGGCACTCACTGGAAGTGGGTGGGCCGGAGCACGAGCTCCTCAGGAGGCGGGCGCGCAGCTCCTCAGGTCAGCGCAGCTTGGCTCTAACACCGACCCCACTCTTTGCCAGCAGCGGGGGCAGCAGCAGCTGCTCCTCCTCCCCTAACCACCGGTTGATGGATAACGAGCATGACCCCGCTAACGAGACCGAATCCTATACGCCAGTGTATGCAAATCGGGCGGCAAGCGTGTGCGTGGCCTCCTCGCTGGCGGACGACGAGAAGTGGCAGTTGCTGGCCCGGAAGCGCTGCTCCGAGGGATCCGCCCTGTCCGCCGCCGCCGCCTCGGGCCCCCAGCAGTTTGGCCAGCGCACCCACTACGCCAGGAACTCCATCAATCTGGCCAACTCGCACTATCGCTCGCTCCGGTTTGCCCACTCGCGGCTAAGCTCGTCGCGCCTCAGTCTGTTCATGCAGGCGCCGACTAACAGTCTAACCACCGGGGAAGGAGTCGCTAACACCCCATCCTCTACAGCCAACAACACAACCACTGATCTCACTAACCAGCAGCAACAGCAGCAAAACCAGCAACAGACACACCACCAATCACTGTACATCAAGCACTCGCCAAAGAGCGTCTCATTGTTCTCGCCTAATCCCTATGTTAACGCCTCATCCTCACCAGCCTCGGCATCCACATCGGCGGGAGCAGGCGTCTCCCTGGCCCCGCCGTCCGCTGCCCTAATGCATCACAGGCCATCGCTGCCGGTGGCCAAGCTAACCATACGCGACGAGGAAATGGCGGAGGTCATCCGAGCGTCCATGAGCGAGGGTGAGAATCAGTAACCCAATAATCCACTAAACAGCTTACTAGAAGAAATCAATATATTACAAATAATTCTGAGGCCGCCACATAAATCTCTAGGGTTTTAAGTCACTTTTAAATATCACTTTAGATATCTTAAAGAATGCAGTGTACTTCCAAGCTTATAGATGTGTTCTTGCATACTTTTAGGCACCTAAAGTGACATTTATAAGAGGTTTTTAAATTCTAGTAACTAAAATTTGGGATTATTAACTTCAAAATGAAATTATAGAAAAACTAGTCCCCACCACTAAACATTTCCTCTGCATAAACTAAACCCATCAAAAATTTACAGGCAGTGGTCGTTGCACTCCGAAGATCATCACCTTCTTTAAGGGACCTGGACTGAAATCTTTGGGATTCAGCATAGTGGGAGGACGGGATTCGCCCAAAGGCAATATGGGAATCTTTGTCAAGACCGTATTTCCCTCTGGACAGGCAGCCGATGATGGCACACTGCAAGCGGGTAAGTTTTTTATTAGCTAAAATATGTACATTTGTAATCCTCACTACATTAAATCCCCTACAGGCGATGAAATAGTGGAGATCAATGGCAACTCGGTGCAGGGCATGAGTCATGCCGAGACCATAGGACTCTTTAAGAACGTTAGAGAGGGCACCATAGTGCTCAAGATCTTGAGAAGAAAGTAAGTGCAGCAAAGCCAACTTCTTTTATAAATTCAAAACTAATATGATATTTTCTCTTTGCAGATTGCAGAAAGCTAAATCGATGGGTTGTTAGTTAGTACCCACATTTGACTTTTCCCTTTGATAATACCTGATTATGGACAACCTGCGTCGTTTAACCAAGTTAAATGTTAACTTCATTAATAAAATGAAGCCCTTTTTTGTAATCGTACAAAGCCCCTTGAAAGAACTATACTTATATACAGACTCTATTTAGCATCTAGAATCCCAAATAGTACATAATCAATTGTATGGAGTTACAATTTTAAATTATTTACCCATTCTAGACTAGGCTAAGATTCGAAACGTTGTACAAGTTATATTTACATACGAGTTTAATATATTTACCTGAAATGCAAAATATTTTTTGTTTTAATGAATATTTACTAAAATAAATCACGCTGTTTCCGTTTCGTCCTTGACAATCAGTCGTTGCTTTTTAACGAAATGTTCTATGCGATTCTCCAAACTCTCTGTAAACAATATTGATTAGGGTTAATTTAATATATAAAGAATATAAATACATACCACAACGTTTGCGTTCTAAGAGAGGCTGATATTGACGCGGTTTGACGGAATCCTGCAGCAGGATTACTTGTGCCTGCACCTTTTCTTTGGGCTTAAAGTTATCCTCCAATAAGATTTCTAATTCGTGGAGCACATTTCGTATCATGGTGCTTTTCACACTGAATTGCGTCCACTCACATTGAGTGTTTTCAATTAGCTTCTGCAGATTTTCTTCGCTGTAAATCCAGTTCGTCAGATCTCGTTCCTCTGAATAAGCGGGAGCACCGGAGGGTTCCGTTTCCTCGGTGGCTACATCCATGGCATCATCATTTACATTTCCATCGATAGGATGATTTACACTCCTCGTGGTCTTGTCCCGGAAATCACAGCGGAAGAGGTTCAAGGGCAAACCAATGGCGGGCGTGTATTGAGGCTTGCAGGGATTAGTCTCCACATCGAGCAGTTTACTGATTACGCTGGGTTGCTCTTTCCTTTGACCAACAAGCAATAGGACAGCCATGATGCAACGTATTTGGTGCCAGAGGAAGGCGTTGGCTTGTATTTCAAGGTAGTACATGTCGTAGCCTATGGAAACGTTATAATAAAAGTAAGGATGTAGATATACTAGTTTTAACATCCAAACATACCTGTCTTCGATTGATTCTCCTCACACGCTTGCACCCTGGCTGATTGTAAGTTTCTCATGTAGTTGGTCACACCGTTGTGCACGTCCATTTTGCAGAAATTCCTGAAATCCGCATGGCGCTCTAGGAGTACGCATGCTTCCTGCATTGCAGAAATGTCCAGGTCGCCCTTGGGAAAGTAGTATCGATAGCTACGCGAAACGCAATCGAATCGAGCGCTGTAAACTGGACTACGCAGTGGCATCCAGGCCACACACTGGATGTTCTTGGGCAGCACCCTGTTTAGGAGACCACAATAGTCGATCTCTGAGGACAGAGCAGAGGGATCGAGTTGGGTTTCGGGTGGATGTTTGCTGCGCAGATCGATGGAGATCACCTGGCAGAAGGCGCTCACCTCCTTGTCGGTGCGTCCACAGCGATGATAGTTGGAGGTGGCGCGGGATTCGATGAGGCAAGTGCGACTTAGAGCGCGGAACAAGTTGGATTCTGTTGGGTAAATACAAATTAGCGAAAATGTACTACCGGATGGGTAAGGCATCTACCGATGGTGTCATTGGAGTCCTCCTGGCAGGCAAATCCTTGATAGTCCCAACCAAAGTAGGTTATCTTCAGCAGAACATGACGCTTGTGGGCACTGAAAAGACCATGGAAACCATTAAGTTTATTAAATCTCCTAAAACCACACCCACTTACCTGCTCCAATCGAACTTACGTTGCTTCTGTGCCTTGCTGGACACCTTGGTTTCTTTGGGAACACAGTCCTCCGTTTCCTTTCCAAACAATACAGCATATTCCTCATCATTTTTGTCTTGTTCGGTTAATTTCTTCTGCAAAAGATTTCGCAGCTGAAAATTGTAGGCCTCCAATTGGACAACCTTATCGATCAGCTCTGTTTGGCTCAGTTTTTCCAGAGCCTCGCGGGGCAGGCCCTTTAAACGTTTATTTATAACAATTCTTTTGTCACTTGTTGCGCTCATTTTGGCGGTAAATAGAAAATAAACAAATTAAAAGCTGCACGTGAATTCAACAAAGCTGATTGCCATTCGCAACGAAACGCCGGCATTGAAGATGAGAAACATTTGGTTTCACAGGTAATACCTAATTTCCACTATCCCCTATTTATGCATTTCAAATGCAGAATTACACTACAAAAATGTTCTTCTGTTTGTCTTGATCAATAAATAAGTAATAAATTATCCACAGGAAAATATTTTTACATAAATTTTTTGGTAATTATTCTACAATAGACCATGACCATCAAGTCATTTTGTATTTTATACATTTGTTGATTATGTAAACTTGGTTATAATTATTATATTTATGAATTAAAAACCAATAGAAACTATTAAACGAATCAAACACTTTAAAGGTTAGAACAACAGTTTATTATGTGAGTAGTATTTTCTGTTCTGGTATGTTTTTCTGAGTCTAGTATCTTTCGTGACTCCACGCGCGGTCATACTATCGCACTGTTTATAATTTATTTTAGTTTCCTCAAAAAAGGCAAAAATCATCAGGAGATCGGGCCAGAAGAGTGTCCTAGTACACGGTTACGCGACCCAAGATCTTTCGCTGCCACTTGCTGCCTCTGTGGTGCAGCATCTAAGGGTGAGGGACACCACGAACGCCAGGAAGGCAGGAGGCAAAGGCAGCAAGGACATCATAAAGGATGGACGCGTGCAGCCACAAGGTCGACGGCGAAAATGTGAATTGCGAGGCGACCTTGGCCGCCGTGAATCTGAATGTCCTTCCCGATGAGATACTGGAGTTCATCTTCACCTACCTGCCGCCCTACGGCGACCTGGAGCACTGCAGCTTGGTGTGCAAGCGATGGCGTGCCATTGTGAAGAGTAGGTATTCAGTATTGGAGGTCATAACACTCTTTAATTAACTTGTAATTCTCCCCAGATCTCGTGCGCCGCTCCAAGTTGAACCTGGAGAAGGGCCTTACCGACTTTCGACTGCGCTGGGAGGTGTTCTCCCAGCAGACGGTCAATGGCGGGGCCGGAGCACCCCTGTCCTTCATCGCCGGACGATTTGCACACTCGGCTGTGCGGCACGATAACTCCATGTACGTTTTTGGTGGGGGTTCCTCCTCGGACACCACCTTCAACGATCTCTGGCGCTTCGATTTGACGCACATGCGCTGGGCGCGGCCTGTGGCCACAGGGACCTATCCCTCCCCCAAGGGTAGTGCATCCATGGTGGCGTGGCGAGATCAGCTGGTGCTCTTCGGCGGCTGGCGCTACCCCTCGCTGCATCCACCGTACCAGCCATGGTGTCTGTTTGACGAGCTGCACTACTACGATCTGGGCAAGAACCGATGGCTGCTGCGCAACTCCCTATCCTGCCCTCCACCTATGGCTGGGCACTCGGCCACGGTGCACGGCGATCGGATGGTCATCTTTGGTGGCTACCAGATCAAGGACGATGTCAACGTGAACTCGAACGATACGTGGGTGCTGGACCTGCCGGAGCAGCGCTGGTGGCAGCCGCTCTTCGTGGGCAACACGCGACCCAGTCCGCGATACGGACAAATCCAGGTGGAACTGGGCAGAAACCATCTGCTGGTCGTGGGCGGATGTGGAGGCGCCAATCGGGTGTACACAGATGCCTGGCTGCTGGACATGACCAGGGACGTGTGGTGCTGGAAATCGCTTAATGTGCGCAACAAGCGCTTCGGAGCCGTCCACATGTGGTGCAATCCCGGCTGCAAGGTTAACAACTATCTTGTGGTTGTGGGACCTTCGCCAAACATGCCGCAGGACTTCCAGATGATGAAGCAGAGCAGGGTCCCGGTCGTAGGAGGTCGTGGACCACCGCCGCCGAATCCTCTTCAAAATCTGCCCCCAAGGGGACACCGAATACCCATGCCGGAGCGTCGATTGGGCGGAGGGATGGGTGGTCCTGGACAGAATCGCGGTGGAAACATCCGTCCTGGAGTGGGAGGGGCAGCAGCTGCTCTGGGCCCGCAGGAGCAGTACTTGGCCAACCGAAGAGCAATACTCAACCAACATATGCAGCAAGCCCAACAGTTTCTGCACAACAGCAATGTAAACAATAATAATAACAACTACCAGCCACGATCGGGAAGATTGAGTGATCTCCATGCCCCGCCAGCTCCTGCTCCTGCTGCATCTCCCCCATCCCCGCCAGTGCGACCAAATGCTCCTCCATCTCCCGCCGATGGCGATGTGGATGCCGCCCAGCGGCTGCAAAGGAACCTGGCTCTAAGGTGTCGTGATAATGAGCCTAGGCTGCCCAAACGTTTCGATGAGCTATACGAGGTGAGTAATAAAAAGTGCTCTCCCAAAAGCCCTATTAAATATTAATACTTCCCACCAGGATCCCTTTCGTATGGCCGCCTTTAATGTGCCCACTCGATCGCGAAGTGCCTCACGGGATCACAACGAGCGCATCCGACGCATGGAGGAGAAGATGAACGCCATACGGAACTCGCGGCGCAGTGCACCCGCCGCTGCCCAAGTGGAGCCACAACCACTGCGCGCCCCCTCTCCCAAGCGACTGCGCTGCAATGTGCAATCCCTGTTCGTGTGCGACATCTCCAGCATCCTGGACAGCAGTGAGCCCGCTCTCGACTGGGTGGAATACAAGAACTTCGGCGTGCTTAAGGGCGCTCCGGATCGGTTAATCCTCTCGAGCCTCATTGCTGGCAACGGCGAGCTGATCCTGTTCGGGGGCGTGCACAAGGAGACACTGACGGACATCACACACCATGTGTCCAATTCCATACACTTCCTAAGTGTGCCACGTGATATTATCTAAGCCCTGAACCGACGCCCGTCCTAGTCCTAAGTTATCCGGATAGCAGACTGCCGCTGCTAGCCCTCCCAAATCCTTCAAAGTTCGGCGTTCGACGTTCATTTAGATATTAAATTGAGTGTAATCGATGTGTTTTATGATTATAAACGATTAACTACTAGTGGATCTCTAATCCTTGGCTCTAATTTTAGCTTTCCAGCAGTTTTATCAAGTCGTAAGCTTGCTGAAAGCGCATATCACAGAGGTCATCTTGGCAGGCAACGCACTGCTCCAAGAGCAGTTGAAGTCTTTCGTTGTCTATAGTCTTGAGCAGGACATCCCTTAGCAGAAGGCACGCCTGGTAGACATTCGCATCCAGCTGCTGGCCGGAGCAGAATGCCGAAACATCGAAGGTGAATCCCTCGCCAGGCAGCGGTTCGTATTTCTGTGCTTGTCCAGAAGTGGAGGCAGCGTCCACCAGCACCAAGGAGTCCAAATCAATGAGAACCACCTTCTTGCTGTCTTCGTCATAGGCTAAATTATCAGCCGTGAAATCGGTTAGGTAAATGCGAAAGTCCGAAAAGCCAAAGGTCAGCTTAAGGGATAGTTGGAGCAACTGGCGAGAGAGCTCCAGGCGAAGATTTTCCTCCGCTTCAGCATAATCTACTAAAGTACGTCCTGCGTAGGATTGAAAATGGGTAAGACCACAGGAGTCATGGGTTTGGGGCACCGGAAATTCAAGCAAATACAATTCCTGCATTAGCAGCGGACTGACATAGTGCATCATGTAGAACCAGATACTGGCGGAGGCATGGCCACGCTGCGCCAAGTAATCCACAAATCGAGGTTTTCTTAAAGAAGTTCGGCAAAGATGGAAGCCACCAGGTCGCTCCTCCAGCTCAAGGAATTCCTTTACCGCGTTTTCTGCTTCATGTTTCTGTACATGAATGTCCTTTCTTTTTGCCACTACTTTGGTTTCCTTATGATCCTCCTTCAGCTCTAGAAAGTAAATCGTCCGTCGATCGACGAGTAAGGAGATGGCTTTCAGAAGTCTGCTCCAATCCGAGGGTTCTGCGATTTTCTGGAATATCTCCTCGCACTGCTCGCGCTGTCCAGAAAAGCAGTCGGGACACAGTTGCAGATCCTTCTCGAAAAGCTCCTGGAACAGGTCCCTTTGCGGCTTCACCTGCAGCTCCTGCAGCAGGGCCAGAATGAGCACGACTTTCAGTTGTCCAGGCGGCAGGTGCATCACAGGGACTGCAAAGGCAAAAGGCAGAAGATGTTAGTGTTAAGGCCATGGTAAAGGGGCTTGCCAAACAACAAAAGAAGACACATGTGTGTGTATATGGGGGAAATGTGCGTGAGGGCCCAGCCTCCAGAGTCCACTGCGCCATTACCTGTTTGGCCAGCCACATGCCAAAGACAAACTCAAAGCAGCTCAGGTAATTATTTCTATACGAACCATTTTTACTCTTCATTAAACTATTAATTGTATTCCCAAGAAGAAAACATATGAATCTACTTACAAACTTAGTCGTACAGCTATTAGCTGATGATTAAAAATCATGACATCAGAATTTGAGGAAAGTTGTACAAAGCTAACTATCTATTATACAATTTTAATTGCTTTCGGGTTGATTTTTGCTTGTAAAAGATTTCATGTATTTCAAGATACCCCTAATTGATCATATTGATTATTTTATTGATTGAATTGATTGATCATGTACATATATAACTAGGTATACTATTCTTGACATGGTAATTTTTAGTTTAATCTAATTCGGCTCAGGTCTATAAGCAAATAAGTAATGACTCTATGGACAACATTTCAAATATATCTACTCTACTTTTCTACTTTACTTTATCACTAATTTTATATCCTTTAGGATTTTTAATTTATTTTCCGAAAAAGTGTTCTTTAAAATAATGGATTTTATCCTTATAATTTGTTTATGACTGCGATTACAGGTGTTTTCCTAAGTTTATACAAAACGTTCAGAGCGTAAGCAAATGGTGTTGTATTTCTATCTTTTTAGATCGCCTTTGACCATTTTCTAAAAATAGCAAATTTAATTCGACCATGATTAAAGCTGATTAGATTACTACGCCAACATTGTTATTTTATGTCGTCATAGTCGAATGGAAAATGTACCCCACGGAGTGCGTAGGGTATAAGAGCGACTGGGATCTACAGAAATAACTTTGGTGTGCTTGGCTTCCCGTGCTGAACTGAAGAAGAGTCGATTGAAAGGGTTCAAGGTTGGCCATCAATCGCTGCCAGCAAAAAGCCAGGCAGTCGCTTAATTTGTAATCTCCGCCAAGGTGGGAAAAGCAGCCATTATGGAGATACCAGTCCCTTTGCTCTGCCTCATACTTCAAAATTAGTTGTGCCCCGGAATGGACTGGATCTGGGAGAAGACGTTCGAGTTCTGGTGCTCCTACTTCGGCGACCATGTGGACAATGGCTTTGGTGAAGACTCAGCACCCGCACCCACGTCTTCTCCGGAACTTCAGTCTTCTAAAACTAAATCCCGTGTTAGGTTTAGCAGCAGCACCATAAGGAATTATCAGCTTCACGAACTGGAAAAGTTGGGCTCTACAAATGCCTTTTTCAACTTCCTGCTCGCCCAGCGAATTCGAGAAGTGGGCCTAGTCGGTCTCAACTACCTGGATGTGGTGAACGCCAATAGATTAATTTCAGAGAAACACATATGGGACTCTATGGATGAGATGAAACGAGAGCCCTATCTAAAACTGGCCAAAAGTATTCGGCAACGCCATATGGGAACTTTTCAGGATAAAAGGAAACGGGAAGAAACGGGCTACCAAATCCGAAGAAGAATCATATACTCGGACCAAAAAAGAGTCAAGAGCCCTGAGAACTCGGCGAAAAACTGAGAGAACGCGAGATGCCAGAAAAGAAGAGACCTGTAATCGCTTGGAGAACGTCCCCCCATGCCAAGTAAGATCAGTTGAAGGTGGCGCGTTGCGCTCGACGGTTGTCGTTATTCTGGTTCTCGCTCAAGTTCTCCGACCGTGCAACAGCTGGGTCCTCCGGCGCATAAAGACGCGATATCGGTCAAGTTCAGGCGACGACGCGACGATCACTCAATTAGACTCGCCGTGAGGGCGCGTGAAATTCACTTTTAATTTCCCCGAACTCAATTTTCGTATACCACAAAAGTTTTACCATATAGATCGCTTTTGTTACGAAGCGTTCGTGTGTGTGCTTGGAAGCGAATTTGTCACAGTGCCAAAAGGTGTGTTTTCGTCTTGGAAATGTCCACTTAAATCGCATACTTTTACAATGTTCTAAAAAGCCATTAATTAGTTTTAAGGTCGTAGGCGAACCCTTCACCACCTTGGTTAGGTAAATTTTACGCAACGGAATCGCGCGATTTGAGTTTAGCAAACAATGTGCGCAGCAGATTTCCAGATTATTGACTGACTGTGCATTAGAAAGATAAATATTTGCATGAGCTCAGCTTGAGATTTTGAAAAGCAGGGATCTGGTGATTAGCACGATCTTCGAGACGAGCCCGCTGTTTACAAACGGCTCTATAAGTACCCTATACTAAGCTTGTAAAGCTTATCACTTCGTTATTATTGAGGACTATATAGTTTGTGGAGTTTACGGAGCATATAGTAACCTCCGTTTTAGCTAACCATAAATCATATACTTGATAAGAATGTCAAGTGCTGCTCACTGACTATATAAGGCCCCCTTAAAAGTCACCTTAGCCTAATCCACACTTGTCCAAATGAAATCTGTAAAAACACTTAGAACCGGTTTTAAATTACCCCCTGGAAAAAACAAATACAGAACCCGAGCCGGCAATAGATAAATGAATAGCTGGCTAGCAAACTGGCTTGCCGTAGTATTATTTCGGCTTATTGATAAACAAAAGACTGGCATGTGTGCGATTACCTATATACCTATATATCTGTTTATTATATATTTGCATGCGGTAAACATGCGATATTGGCCATGACTAAGGAAATCTAATAAATGCGGGGTAATTGATATTATTCAATTCAAGTTACGTCACGTTTATTTAACGTACACGAACCTCCTTGACTTTACAGATAATATTTTCAAGGGGGATTTCGTTATCGGACTTTTAATATTTTACGGATCTTAGGCACACGCCCCTATATTGAAGAACCATGAAATGGCAAGCCGAATTGAAAGTGTGCAAATTTGTATTATAAAATATCAAATGATATGGCACTTATGTTTTAGTTCCCTAGGTCTTCTTGAGTCTTAAACATTAAGTCTATATAGGAATATTTTGGGTAAAACTTTTTCCTTGCCTTTCCTTTTTAGCCCTAATCTCTAGTTTGCGGTCAAACAAAGTTTCAACAAACAGGTTTCTGTTTCTTTCAAATGAGAGTCAGCATATTCTTTTGAATCTTTATCCCACTCGTCTCGCTTTCTATTCCTGTGTCGAAATAGTTTCTTCTATACTTCGAATGATTAATGGGCCCTCATGACACGCGCAAATTATAAACTGGTTCTCAAATGGCTCATTAATATTAACCACCTTTCTCTGCCCCTTTCGCAGATGAGCATCTCGGCGGTGGATCGCAAAGAGCAGGCCAGCGTGGGCAGCGTTCTTGGCAGGCGTTACGGCCAGCTGCTCCATGGAGCCAAGTATACGGACTGTGTGTTCCACGTGTGCGAGGAGCAGGTGAAGTGTCACAAGCTAATCCTCAGCTCCGCCAGTCCTGTTTTCGAGGCCATGTTCTTTGGTCCAATGCAAAACAACGAGCCGGAGCCGGAAATCGAAATCCACGACATTAGTTCCGCCATCTTTAAGGTGCTGGTGGAGTACATCTACACTGGCGTGGTGGACTACAACGGCCTGGAACTGGTGGCCTGCATTGAACTGTACTACGCGGCCGAGAAGTATCTGCTGGAGGAGCTGATCGCCGACACGCTGATGGCCGTCACTCGCAAGCTGCGCTTCGCCAACATCCTGCCCGCTCTGGAGCTGAGTGTCTGCATGGGCCTGGACAGTCTGCTGGAGGTGTGCATGAACTTCTTTATGCGTTGCTGTGTCAATAATGGACAGTACATGAGCCACCTGAAGGAGCACTATGTGCACGTCTCCAAGGAGTGCGTAAAGGCTATTATAGCGGCCTGCAAGGAGCCGCACAAGCTGCTCATCTGGTACGTTTACGAGTGGACGCGCCAGGAGTGCGAGCAGTTGGGCCTAGGTCCCAGTGATGCGGATCTGGTGGTCCACGACTTGGGTGGTGAACCAAGCGATTGGCCCGTGGCTGCGGCTGTCAATGATTTGAAATCTCCAGCTCTGGCTCCTGTGGTTTCGGTGGAGCGCTGTTACTATAAGGCCTGTCGGCCCTTCACAGTGGATTCCGAGTCTCCGGTTTTCCGTCTGCGCCTTAAGTGTTCCAGATTTATCTCACTGATGGGTCTGGTGTTGAACAGCCGGCTGACCCCCAACCGTTTGGGTCACGTTCAGCAACTGGAGTACCGGGAATCGCTGCGCCTGGACCTATGTGAGGTGCCCGCCGAGAGCGAGGGTCCGGCCAGTGAGCCCGTGTGGAGCCACGTAGTCCAGAGCCAGAGCACCAAGTACAACTGTGATCTGCATCTCGGCTGGCGGCGCGAGGAGGCCTGCGTGCTGAATCCGGAGTTGACTTACGAGCTGCAGATACGCTGGGACACTGGTGCCTATGGGGCGGAATATCCTTGCAGCCTGCAGTCCTGTCAGGCGGACGGAATCCGGTTTACAGACGAGGACAGTTTCAGCGGAAGTCTGGTCAAGGGACTGCGCTACGCCAACCTGGTGTAGTCGCTCAGGGAGCGATACTCGATATCATAATTAGTTAGTCCGTAAGACGTGTGTGTATTTATTGCCCTAAGTTAATGTACGCTGCCTCAGAGTTCAATAAACTGTGAGTAAGTTCGCTTCAAACACAAGGTGTCGACAGGCGGAAAAAGCCGGTTTGCGGGCCGCTTTTTGTTTGGCGGCTGTCGAACTCGATCGATGAGCGCGGTGTACGAGAATTTTACTCACCAGTTTTTGAGAGCACAAATCAAAACACCTGCAGCACCAAGTCGACTATAAACATCGGAATAGATAATTATTAAAACCAGATCAGTCAGTTCAGATGTAAACAAAACAAAAATTGGTAAGTGCCAGTGTGACCATTCGTTGATTGTGCTTCTAGGCTGACTCATTCAGACTGAACAAATAACTTCACACTTAAATTATGTGTTCCCACTGAACCTTAAAAATTTAATATTTACATCATTGGATATTTAATGATATAAATGATTTCCGTAGGGTAAAGGTAGCATATTAAGTATGTAAAAAAACTAACAAATACATTCTCTACTTACTTGGAATGTTTTAAATTTTATTTTCTAAAATCCGACATTCTTAATCAGTTTTAAAAATAAAATCTTTGAAAATGCTGTGTGAACACGAAATTTATATCCCCTCTAGTGTTGGAAAGTTCCGACATGACTATATATTAGTGCTGGAAGCGTCGCCGCTTAAAAACAATAATAGTCCGCTTTGCTTTTTGTTTACGCTGCTAAAATGACTATTTTGTACAAAGTCGAGGGCAAGGAGTTCGGCAAGGACAGTGTTTTCCCGCACAAGAATGTCCTCTGCTCCGTCTCCGCGCGAAATATCGTGGCGTTCAGTGCCCTGCAGAGCAGGGAGGAGATGCACGCAGGAGATGCCGGCGAAGGATCCCTGCCAGGAGCTGGATTGGGTGTGGGCGCCAGCAACAGCCATGTTTACGTCTGCGACATTGTGACGCCCTGGGAGTACTACAAGGTGTGCTCCTCCAAGTCTATGATCAGCGTGCTCCAGTGGAGTCCCAATGGGGAGCAACTGCTGCTCGGCTATGTTGGCGGTCGCGTGGAGATTTGGCAGACAAAGAACCAGTCCATTAACCTGTGGCACCTGCAGTTTCACGCCACCGTGCCCAGCGAGGACATCATTGAGGCGCAGTTCTTCCACAACGGCAAGGGGGTGATCTTTAATCCGCAAAAGAAGGATCACACCTACTACGCGGAAAAGTTTGAGCGGATGGAGCAGCAGAAACCCACTCTCAGCGGATTCGGTGGAGTGCCCAGCGAGGGCTGCGTGCTGCTCACTTCCTCTGGTCTGCTGGCCGCTTTCTGTCTGCCCGTGCTCCAAAAGACATCCGCGGGAGGAGTAGAAGGCCCCGCCCACGAAATAGTCGAGCTGACGCCCACGCTCTACAGCATCGGTATCTCGCGCAGCTTCATCGAGCACTGCACCATGACGCCGAGTCCATCGGGAGCCCTGAGTGTAGCCTTCAGTTGTGGCTGGCAGCAACAGTTGGTGCAGTGCTTCAGGATTTTCCTCTCCTTGGAGGGCGAACTGGGTCTAGAGCAGCATTTGGTCATCAAGTCCGAGTCGCAGGCCAGCATATTCTTGGGACCCCTTGACGGAAGGCGGATAAGCCACCTGAAATGGACTCGGGTGGCCAGCGAGGAGGTGATCTTCATAGCCTACGCCTGTCCGAATGGTGGTGGAAGCCAACTGGAGCAATGGACGTTGACACGCCGGCACCAGAGTGTCCACGCACTGCTCCAGGGTGGAGGAGGGGCCAACAGCAAGCCAAACGAGTTCGTGCAATCGGAAAGCTGGGAACAGGTGGGCAAGGTGCAACTGAATGCATCTTTGGCCGACATCAGCATAACCCGACTATCGGTCTCCGCGCCGGACTGCTGCCAGGTGTACGCCATTCTCCAGGACAACAGTGTCCAAGTGTTGGAACCCAACTCGCTAAAGCAGCTCAATCACACACAATTCGAAAAGGTATCAGACGCCAGTGGAGGGGTACATTTCGTCAGTGGCGACTTGACGCCCACCAGCCAAATGCTCCTGATCTTCGATAGCCATGCGCAATTGCACGCCATGCAGGCACCTCTCCTCAAGCAAGCAGGATCGGGTTTGCTGCTGCTGGAGTATTGCATCGTCACTGGCTGCGATGCCAGCGATGTGCTGCTCCTTAATCTTGGAAATCTGGAGGCACTTGTGGAGAAGCTAACGGACAATTTTACGCGGCAACCTTCGTATGTGCGCCACTACTACTATGCCAACTTTCTGGCGCTCAAATCCAATCTGTGCCGCGTACAGCAGCAGGAGTTCGACAATCTGATCATCCTGCACGCCATATCCACAACATTCAAGAGTCTTCTTCGACCCTCTGATCTGGGCTTCCAGGATAAAGGACCCGCTGATAACTTGGCCATAAAGCTGGCCGAATCCATACCGGATGTGGACACCGTGATGCTCAATCTGGATGCCAAGGACTTTACTGTGGAGCCGGTAATGCTGCAGAGTCTGCAGCAACTGATCCAGTGGGTCACCGACCTGGCCCTCAATATGCTGCATCGCCTGCCCGAGGAAGTGATGAAGAGCAAGCTGTCCGGGAAGCGGCCCAGCTACGATATCAGCCGGGACATCGTGGCCATCAGCAGTCTGCGCGAGCTTCTCGTTATGATCCGCATCTGGGGTCTGTTGAACACCCAGTGCTTGCCCGTATATACCAAGACGATGGACAACATCGATGTGCTGGTGATCCTGTTTCGTTTGCTCACTCGCTTGGCTCAGAATCCCGCGGAGCCGGATGAAATGCTGCTAGACGAGTGCAGTCTGCTGTCCAAGCAGCTGCTGATTCCCCAGCCCACAAAGTTCAATCCCACCACGCTGCTGAGTGCCCAAGGATTCGCGGCCGTCAAGTCGGGTCAGCTGCAGTTCACCTCGCTGGTAGAACCATCTTGTCTGCAGGACATGGAAACGGAGGAGGTTGTATTCGCCCGCTCGGTGAAGGATGGCGTGAGCAATCTCCAGTTGGGCGCCCGACCCAGCACCATTCGGAGGTGCGCCCGCTGCGGATTCGTCTTCGTTAATAATGCCAACAAAGTGGCCAAGACGTCGGCTCTAAAGGCGTGGTTTAGTAAGTGGCTGCACTGCCACTGCGGGGGCTTTTGGAAGCAGATACACTAGTTAGTCCTAGCTTGTGTCAGCAGTATCCTAGGTCCTTAAGCGTAGTCTAAGTCTGCAATAAAATATTTCAAGATACCCATTGTACCAGCATTTAAATTTAAAAGTATTCATATCAGTTAGGTTTGCGAACCTATTTTAATTTCTGCTCAGGAGTTTCGTGTCTGAATTCATAAGCTTGTTTATAAAAATAAATGTCTGCGGACTTCAAAAGATATATATATAAAAGATAAGATATAAATGCACGTATTGTTCCTATTCAGAAGTTTGCAGAGCGGTAAATCAGACATTTCCGAACCCATTAGGTTTATATATTTTCTTGATCTTTCGTCCTTTTTTACGGAAACTAGTCTCAAATTTAAAGCTATCTGTATGAAACTTGGATTCTTGTTTTAGATTCCTGAATTTTATTTTTTTTTATAATCTGACAACTAATTTCAAGAGCTGCGATAAAAAGATGGATGGAGGTTTCAAAATATTTTCGAAAGTCAAAAATTTAAAAAATCCAATTAGTATTTCCAATAAGAACATAAGTCCTGTTGCAACATTTTGGTATATTTGTCATACTCTTGGTATGTTATTTTAGGGCCTTACCATAACGCTTCACCGTCTGGTCATACTAGGAAAGTGCAAATTGGATAGGATAGGATAAATACAAACAAATTGGACTGCAGAGAAGCTGAAGATTAATTTATAATTTTATCTGTATCCAACACCTATTGGCGAATTCCTAGGCAAAAATGAACATAAATCTGCCGAATTTCAACATGAAGAACCTTGTGAAGGAGGCGGGCAGCACGATATCGCGAGTGGTGCAGGTGAACAAATCAATGATTTTGGGTGGGCTGAAAATGCGGGTGGGGATGGTGTGGTTCCTGGTCTTGCGGGGGAGGAGTGGGGTGGGTCAACCCGAGCTCAAGCACTTTCGTTGACTCTTTGCCCTTTTCACCGATTCTCCTTGGTTCTTAATGATTTTTCAGCTCACGGAGGAGAAACTGGGCACCACAGAACGCACCGAATACGACTTGCACTTCCAAAATCTCGCCGAGCGGGCGGATGTGACCAAGACCTGGACGGAGAAGATTGTGCGGGACACAGAGTCGGTGCTGATACCCAATCCCCAGAACCGGGTGGAGGACTTCATCTTCGAGAAGATCGAGAAGTCGAAGCCTAAGCGGCTGAGCAACCTGGAGCACCTGGCCCTGGACATGATCGAGGCTGGGGGGGATTTCGGACAAGATCTACCCTACGGGCAGGCGCTAATCAAGGCTGGCCAGGCGGAGCAGAAGCTGGGACAGTGCGAGCATGACTTTATAGCCACCTCGGGCATTTGCTTTACACAGCCGCTGCGCAAGTTCCTCGAAGGCGAGATGAAGACGATCGGCAAGGAGCGCGGCATCCTGGAGACTAAGCGCCTGGACCTCGACGCCTGCAAAAACCGGGTGAAGAAGGCGCGCAGCATGCTGGGTCAGCAGTCGGTAAGTAAATGGGTGGTGGGATTATGGGGGGGATCGATTTCGTAATGGCCTTCTTACTCACGGTATTTTTCTGCCCTCTGCTGCTTGGATTGTACAGAAAGATGGCATCTCGCCAGAGGCCGTCTTGGAACAGGTATCGAAACCTTGACCGAGCTTTAGATTCATGTTTAATCAATATGCGGATTACTAATTCCAATTGTTTCCCCAGGCGGAGCGCGACTTGCGGGTGGCCCAGGCCGAGTTTGACCGGCAATCGGAGATCACCAAGCTGCTGCTGGACGGGATCAGCACCTCCCAGGCCTCGCACTTGCGCCACTTGCACGCCTTCATCCAGACGCAGGTGCGCTACTACAAGCAGTGCGGCGATGTCATGGAGCAGCTGCAGCGTGAGCTGGCCAAGTAAGTTGATGGTGATGACGATAGAGGATGGCTGTGTGAGTGACTCTCAAATAGGCACTATAAGAATCCGTCCTTGCACCACAAACAACCAGGCCCCATCCCTGATGTATCCCGTGTGCTCCCTTCTGGTCATCTCACTGTGCGTTATGTTATCTGTTTGTGGTCTTACAGAATGCAGCACCCCAAGCCACGCCTGCGCATCAATAGCGAAGACGTTGATGGTGGGCCTCCCAGCTCTGTGTCGATGCATTCCTGTGATTCCGATTCCTTAGTGGGGCTAGCCCTAGATAGCGATCCAGATCCCGATCTGGACAAGTCGTTAACGAACCTGCTGGAAGACTTTCACATAGAGTTCGATACGACGGCAGTCTCCACAGTTTAGGGGTCTTGTTTGGTGACCCCCTCAAATGGAATCGGATGTCTTTGCCAGTTAACACTAACATTAATTATACGTAATAGATAGGTTGTTGTTATCCGTCATTCGTAGTTGTAAAGGTCAGGTTTCAGCAGCTCATCCCTCCATTTAGAGTCCCGCAATCGAGACGAATCAAAAACTCATTAAACTCTGCATCTTTCATCAGCTTGGGAGGCCCCACACCATACATTCCGCTCGACGTGAACGAGGCCGGTGCCAGCAAGTCCAACACATCGTCCGGAGCCGCGGCCCGTGGTCCTGGCAACAACATTGCCGCCAACGCGGTTGGTCCCGGGCACAAGCCCAATCAGCCCGTGCACGTCAGCACCGATCAAATGCAGCGGGCACGCGTCCTCTGCTCCTACGATGCCAAGGATCACACCGAGCTCAATTTGAGTGCAAACGAGGTGAGTCATTCAGATCTGAAAACCGGGGTTGGGAAGTATTGGGACAAATAGCAATTATTAATAATTAATCAATGGTTTCAGGTAATCTTCGTCACCGAATGTTCGCCGGTGAATGAGGACTATATGTATGGGAAACAGGGCCTAATGAAGGGTCTGGTGCCACGGGCTTTTGTCGAAATGCTCGACGAAGAGCACGACGTAACCCTCTAAGCCATCCAGCAACTTGTTCAGCAATAATTAATCAATCAATAATCTCACGAAAAATACTCCAAGTACGGCAATACTCATACGTTAAGGAAAAGGACATCATAGAGAGGAAGGAAAGGCAATTGGACAATGATATAAGATGCGGCCAAACTGGCATTTGGCACTAGCAAGAGAGTACAATAATTTATTAGAATATACATACATAAATATATACAAGGCATATACATACATGGGCGTGCTGTTGAAAAACGCATTGTAGTTTAGGCCTCGTTGATCCTCAAACCCTGATCCTTGCCCAAAACAGCTACGCTTCTCACCTGCATAGGACACGCTCGCATAGTGTAATCAAATATACATCCTCTGCTGCCTGAATAGCCGTCAAGTTATATTTATAAATCTATGAAATTGTCAACACTATAATTGTTAAAACTTATCGCATATCTAAAGAGAAAGTGCTGTTTAATTAAGCTTCTCTGCACTCGACAAAGTATTATATTTGTGTTATGTTTGTCTTGATCTTTGTTAACAAGCAAAATTCATATTACCTATATATCCTATAATTATTCACATGTTTAAGAGATTTTTAATCCTATTATCAATATATTCAGCGAAGGCGTTTCCAGTTTAAGCTAGTTATTATCAAATGTATTTACTCCTTCCTGGTGCAAGTATTAAGTTACAACATTTTTTCGTGCAATTTTGGAAAGTCAATTAATTGAATGTTGCTCGTTAAATTTAAGACAAAACTCTAAACACCAATGCGAGACTAGCGCTTAATAGCTGAAAATTAAAAGCAAAATATTGATGAAAAGGTACAATACAACAATTACAAAGTAAACAACGATGATTTTTAGGTTTTCAGCAAAGAAACAAAAAGTTGTACTAGAAGCGAATTTTTAAAACACAAACTATATTTAAAAAATTACAAATATATGATCAAAATGAAAAACAAAGTGATAAGTGTTAATTGCGCTTTTGGGTTTGTTGTATAAATTTAACTAAATTAGTTTGGCAGAGGGTTTAAAGATAACTATGTTAAATCGAACTTCACTCCTCGAAACTTTTTGAAGCGCGATCTTTGTTTCTTCAGAACAAAAAAGAGTTTATGTTTCCTTTAGTTTTACATAAAAAATATTTAATTGATTGCATATAAAATATAGTAGGTAAATACAATATATTGGCAGCTCACATAGAATGCGATCATCATCACTGCTCGAATAGTTCCATCCCAGTATCGTGGCGCAACTTTTGGTGATCTGTGCACTTTATTTGAATGATATCTTCAACCACAACTCCAGGAAGCTAGAATTTAATTGTGAATTAAGTGAGTACCCAATTAACAGGGTATATTTAGTCTCCAAAGGTATAGAATACTTACTGCCAATTTGAGCGCATTAATTTGTTCGTCCTTCATAGATAACCAGAGTTCGATGGGTAGCTTCCTCTGAATCACGTTTTTGGCGATCTCCTGCCGCACTCTGGTCGCGATGCGTCTTACGAGATTGATGTCAGGCTGGGTGCATTCCTCCAACCGCAGATAGTTAAGCTTGGAACATAAGCAGAACATATATAGTATCATGTCGTCAATGGCGCTTGAGCGCCTAAAGCAGATCCTTTCCAATTGACTAAGATTTGGTAAAATCCTCAGCAAAACATTGGAAAAATCCGTATCAGGCATTATAAGGACGCGAAGGCCTTTGAGCCTGGCAATTTGTCCAAGTTGTTGGATGGGTACTGACTCGAAACCAAACATTTCCAGCTGCTCCAGCTGAGTTGACTTGTGCTGTACCAGCCCACCGATAAGGTTTATACACAACTTATCCGTGAACTGCATGTCATTTGTAACGTCATTGTAGATGGTCAGGTGCTTTAGTTTAGGCAGACTAGGCACATAGTCATAGGTGGTCCATGGGTGGGCCGACACTCTTAGCACCTCCAGCGAAGGACAAGAATTCTCAACCGCCATGGTGCGAAAAACTTTCTCTGGCGATGTATTAATGTTCTGTAAGTTCAGCTCCTTTAGATTGGGTAAGTTTCTGCAAATGCCTGGAAGGTATTGGGTTTCCAGGTCCCGGCATCCGTTAAGCCCCAACACCTCGATGGAGGTGGGTAGTCTATCCAAAGTGCGCCCCGTTAGTGAGTTCCAGCTCAAGTTCAATTTCTTTAAGTTAACGAGATTTTGCAGATCCAAGAGCGGTTCGTCTGCTATTTCGCAGCTATGTAGCATCAACTCTACCAGCTTATATCCCCTGTGGAATATGGTGTGCATATAAAGCCCGAATTGGGGGCTGCACACCACTTGCATGGACTTTAAATTGACACAATAATCTCTTATAAATTCAGCCAACCGCTCCATATGATCCGTTTCAAATCTCCCATGAAAGTCCTGCACCCGTGCCCCGAACATTTGGAAAAACTCACGCATGTCCCATAAGGTCATGTTCCGGAATTCACTGAAGTCCACTGAAGAGTGCAGCCTGGCGGAGGTTCTCTCTAAGGCCGCCCTAAAACGAGGACAGGTCCTGCCGAAGCGCACTTGATCTTGCAATCCTAGCTCTAGCACGATGTGCATCAGGCAGTCATCATTGAGAATCGAGAAAAGCGATGTTTCTTGGAAGAACGTCAGTTGCTCGCGGGTCCCATAGGCATCAGGTTGCTCCCAACTGTCGCTGGCCTGTACAGTGAACACATTATAGTCACTGGCACGCAGGGCTCTAGGATTGGATTGAGAGAAGGGACTTTAGGCTGTGATATTGAAGTGAGCCACACTTGCCTGGCTGCATCCGTTGCTTTGGCGTAGACCACATGACCACTTTGAAAAAGTTGCAACTCATTTCCGGGCCTAAGTATGTGCATTTCAAGTATGCGTCCAAATTGCCCAAAGTAGGTGCACAGAACTCTTTCCTGAATCTAAGGTAAACCAAGGATTAGGCACGAGATTATTGTCCATTGGGAAAGCAAAGACTACCTGGGTAGGGGCATCGCACCAACATATTTTCCTCACAGGAATGTGATCCTCTGTGTAGGCAATAAGGTCCTCGAAGTAGTAGTTTCGTTCCACTGCACATGGAAATTGAGTATTTTCAATTAGACACTTAAGTAGTTTAAAGATTACGAATTTGGTACACTAAGCCCCGTTTTCCCGTTCACTAAATATAGGTTTTACAAAACGTATGGAAGTTTTGAGTTTTTAACTACACCTATTTTGAGTCCTTCACTCACTGGGATCACTGATGAAATACGACATTTTTTATATTTTAGGCAACTGATAACATATGACCTTGAAGTCAAGCTCAGAAAAACCCATCAAAATTAATAAAAGCCGTTTGTATGTATGCGTAGCTCTCAGTTCTCAATTATTGCTGGTTCTTTAAAACCCAGCCTGGCAACCTTTCTACTTTGTTTGGGATGTATTTTACCTTTTAAAAATTTAAACACAACATTTGTACCACCGAGAAGAATGTGGGCGCCACAGCTATGGGCGAATTGCGGGCGTTGAACCTGCGCATGAATCGCTCGAATCTACATGCTTAATTAATTCTTTTTGAGTCAATTGATTGAATGGAAATTTTGTATTAATTTTACTGCAGGAGCCAGTTTTCCGAAACTTTGTATCTTTCGTAGTTCCCGAGCTTATAGCATTTATATGGACAGACGGACATGGCTAGATCGACTTGGCCAGTGATCCTGATCAAGAATATATATTCCCAATAAGGTCGCAAACGCATCCTTCTACTTGTTACATACTTTCCGAAAAACCTAGAATCTATAAAATATATTTGGATTTTTCCGAATTTGGATATTCCGAATTAAAAATGATGATGATGATGTATGTACATATTGTAGTATTCATATATATTTTATTTTGGAAATTAAAAAGTAAAATCTCTTTGGAACGTTCGTCAGTAAGAAATTGGGTTGAGTTTTTATACTATTTATTTAATTATATCGGTGGTAAAATACAAATTCAAATTAAATTCAAACTATAATTTAGTAGAAATGAAATACGATTTCAAAACAGGTTTCGTTGTATTGCATGGTTACGTATCTTAAAAACAATCAAAAAAATTTTTGCTTCGGGGATTTGTATTATTAGGACCATCTTTCACCGAACGTCCTGCAGGATAACACACTTTGACACAAGCCCCCGCGAAAATGCCATTTCAAATAGTTCAGTGGTGGTATATTTCAGTATACCAAGAGGTTTGACATTTTTTGGCGCACTGCCTGCGGTCTTACTAATCTTGGCGCTTGAAATGAATGTCAGATTCTTTATTACAAATCCAAATTCAAATTACGAATCAGCGCAGCAGGATAGCAGGATCGAATATGTCTCATTTCGTGAGTAATCCGTGTAAGTAAATCAGTGGCGTGTGCTAACTGCACCCAGTGCACTTGGCTGTCCGAGAAATGCACATGGTTTCGGCGGAATTTATGAATGAACCTACTGCGTTCTATTGCAGCCCATCAGAACTACTACTTCAAGGACTCGGTTGCCTACACCGTGGACCACATCCCCGTGCAGAAGCTCTATTTTTACAAGGTTCCCCCGGAGGTAGGTCCTCCTGGCGCTCAGCCCCTAACACGAGCCACTTATCCCCTGTTGATCCTCTCCTGCAGCTCGCCCAGAACGATTTGAGAAAGCACTTTGGGATCTACGGGCGCGTGCTTCGCATGCAGATCTACCAGCCCCGCGGACGAGGCGGACGCAAGCACAAACCCAGTCTGCTGACAGGCTACGTCTCCTACGCCGAGAAACGAGATGCAGCCAAGTACGTTCTGGCCCTCCGAATTCCAAACTCCAAGCTCTAACCGCTTACCCTTACTCCTTTGCCAGGGCTCTGCACAGCCGGATTCACCACCTGAAAGGTCACAAGTTCCAGGTGCAGGCCAGTGACAGCTGGCACCAGCCGGACGCCTATGGGCCGGCGATGCTACCGAACGACAAGGTTAAAGCGCCGCCGGCAATCATGAGCCTAAACGATCACTGCTTGGAGCATGTGCTGCAGTGCCTCACACTGTCCGATCAGATACACTTTGCCAGGACTTGCCTGCGCTTCAGAGCGGTCTACCAGATGGCCACCGCCAGGCTGCACAAGGAGGTGAGCTTGGATCAGTTCGATGGCATGACCGTCTGGGACCTACGCGACTTCTTCGAGCTGTCCGGTTGCCATGTACAGAAAGTGGAGGGCACGATGCCCACGGTTCACGAGCTGCGCCTGTGCGACTTCTTGGCCGTCAAGTGCAGCAATATCCAAACAATGGAGCTGTTCAACACTCCCATGTCCTCGCGCAACATGCACAAGGTATTCGGAAAGATGCCCAAGCTGAAGACGCTCCATTTGATCATGTCGAATGTCTCCGATAGCAATCTCATGGCCCTGCGAAATCTGAGTAGCTTAAAGACTCTCAATCTTGATGGAAATCCATTGGAAGGCAAAAACTTGGCGAAGATGCCGCCCACCATCGAATCATTGTCCCTTAACAAGTGCAGTTACTTTGAAGACAATTACCTTTCCAGAACATGCAACTCCTTTCCGCAGCTTAAGGAGCTCAGTATAGTGAACATTAACCTGTCGTGTCTTAAGATCTACGAAACCATAGTCAACGAAAAGTCCTGTGCCCAGCTTGAGAGCCTGTCAATGTCCATCGAAGAAGACGTAGAGTACGAGTTTGTTGCTCATTTGCCCAGCCTGAAGCGACTGTATGTCTTCACCACCACGCCTGTGCGCGACCATTTTCGCAAGGAGCTCTTCGAGCAGCTGGCGCAGCACAAAGCGGAGCAGTTAGAGAGACTTGAGATTTTTGGTCACGTCCCCCTGACCAGTGAAATGATTCTTGACGTTGCCAAGCTGGTCGGATTACGCACTCTCACCTTATCCCGCATGCAGACGGACCGTTTAATGGACGCTTTATGTAGTCTGCACACGTTGGAGAAGTTCACCCTCCGGCACTCGATGACTGTACCGGACACTTTGATCCTGCGCTTCTTCAGTGCCTGCCGCAATCTAAGCTACGTGGCGCTAGAGGATTACATCGCGCCTAGCGAGCAACTGGTGCTGGGCATCGTGGCCAAGGTGCGCGAGGAAATTGCCATCATGCAGCTCAAGCGCAAGTTACCCATCCAGCTCTGGATCCCGTTGGGCTTCAACCTCGAGAAGCTCTTCAAGGAGGTAAGTGTCGCAAACCATTTTATATATGTAGGGATCTCCGCTAGAAAATTTGAAGTTAAAGGGCTAATGGTAGAGAACTCAAGTTTGTCCTTAGAAGTGTTCTCCATTTGACCATTAAAACTTATATATTGCTCACTTACTGGAACACTTATACTCTATAAGGGAATAGAGACAATGCATACTGATAACGTTCAACATTTTAGCAAATGGCCGATCTTTACTTTAAGGCGTAGTGTTTCATTATTTACAAGACTTTATTTGCATTCATATTTAAGGGAACAATCAAAGGCTTTAAATTCGTATAAAATATTATTTTCTAATTTTGATCTAAGACACCAGTCGTATTTACACCGCCATTTTCCAGAGTAGTTAGGGCAATTGTCGAAATTTTCTCATTAAGAGCCCTGTGATGCCTGGATGTGGCAGCCTGCAGATTCTTAATCACTCGATCAGAGGCCTGAATGGTCAAGGCCTTTGTCATGTTGAGCTCGTGCTGAGCAGTTGGAAGATTAAGAGTGACTGCGCGAGATGATCGTGATTGCGTCACAACCATAGAGTATATATCAATGGCCGCGTTCGCCAGTCGTGTTAGCAAAATTTGCTCGTTTACTATATTTTTGTTGTATCGCAGCAATAGCTCTTCCACCGATTGACCAAAAAGATCAATGCAATGGGCCGTTTTCTTCGCATAGGGCAATAGTTCATCCACCACGTGGACACTTAGATCGGTCCCACCCAGACCGACAGTGGAGGCTGCACGCTTTGAGGCTTCCTTGAAAATCAGCCCCAAATTGGCGGAGGGATTCTTAAATGCACGCTGCAGCTCCTTAAGATGGGATCCTGCGTATTGGATTCCAGTCAGCGCAATGAACAGCCGGAGAATGTCGTTTGTGCCCTCGAAAATGCGGAAAATTCGCAAGTCTCGCAGGACTCGTTCCAGACCAGTGTCCACCATATATCCCATGCCGCCCAGAATTTGAATGGCCTCGTCGCACACATACCAGGCGCTCTCCGAGGCATAGATCTTCGAAATCGCAGCTTCCAAGTGGTAGTCCTTGCTGCCAGCGTCCATGTTTTGCGAAATGGTGAACGCCATCGACTCGGTGGCGTATTGCAGGATGTTCATCTGGGCCAATTTCTCCTGAATGGATCCATAGTTCTTTAGCTTCTGCCCGAACTGCACCCGATTGTTGGCATGGTCGGTGGCCAGTTCGATGCATTTCTTCATTGTTCCCGACAGCGTGGCTCCCATTCCGAAGCGGCCGTTATTTAATATGTTCATGGCAACCTTAAATCCATCACCCTCCTTGCCGAGCACATTTTCAATGGGGATTTTCACATCCTCGAAATAGACTTCGGCCGTGTTCGATGCCTTGATACCCATTTTCTTCTCCGGCGGACCATTTGTAACGCCTCCGAAGGATCGCTCCACAATGAAGGCCGTCACCTTGTCCTTCTTTTCGCCCGTCTTGGGGTCCACCTGCTCGGTCTGAGCGAAAACAGTCATGATTTCGGCGATTCCTCCATTGGAAATCCAAATTTTGGAACCATTTAGGACGTAGTATTTCTGATCGGCCGACTTTACAGCGCGGCATCGAATGGATCCAGCGTCTGAACCGGAACTTGGCTCCGTTAGGGCAAAAGCTGCGTAGACCTGCTCGGCGGCCACCTTGGGCAGATACTTCTCCTTTTGCTCCGGGGTGCCGTACAGGAGGATGCCCTTGAACCCGATACTCTGATGGGCGCCAATCGTGATGCCCAGCCCCAGGTCATTGGCACCCACAATGGCGCACAGCCTGCCGTACTGGGTGTTGTTCAGACCCAAGCCTCCGAAATCCGATGGCACTTGGATACCAAAGGCGCCCAATTCCCACAGAGCCGTCGCCGTGGTGTCATCTATCTTGGCATTTTTATCGTTCCGCGCGGCGTCATTGACGTCGGAGAAGAAGCGTTCGAAGGGGTCTATCAGGCTGTTGGTCAGCTCCTTCTGGTCCGAGGTCAGGACATCCGGATAGGGGAACACTTGACTGGAGACCAGAGACCCCCGGAATATGTTGGCCATGAAGGACTCATTCTCACTTGCCTTCGCCTTCTCCTCCTTTCGATTGGTTTCCGCGCCCAGTTTGGGACTGTGCGTCGCAATTCGCCTGCAGAATGTAGCATTTCCTGCCAATTTGCTGCTATTCAGGATCGTATACCTCCACATAGTTTCTAATTGTTTGTAAAATTGCCCTTTGTACCGAGTATTAGTAAGCCCACACTACCGATCCCCAAAAATGGCCAACGCGACCTTGCGCAATTCAAATGTGGTATATTATCTAGTATTTAAGATTTCAGTTAAATCTGGAGATTTTCAAAATCACCTGAAAACTGAAAAAAGAGGTTTTACCATTTAAAATTTATTTGCTATAATGCTTTGCGATCAATACCATAATATTATAACACAAAAGCAGATTAGAAAAATACTTGATTGCTCTTGCTAAACCATTTTTCAGCATCCTGATAAAGTTCCTGAGGATATTATCAAAATTAAGTGCACGTCCTCCGACGAATACGTTTTGAACAACGAATATGCCATGATACAGACCGATGAGGACTTCGATTCGGATGATCTGGACCTTTTTGATGACTCAGATGATGACTCTGACTACGACTTATACGATGCAGGTTTTCTGAGCGATGAAGAAGCTGGCTCGGATTCCGATTCGGATCCGAATTATGGCTACGTTCATCCCTCGTGGCCCTACGACCATAATGGAGATTTTATTGGTTTCGGAATATGGGATTCAGGTATGTTTTTACTTTTGCTGTACAAATAATGTTTCTAACTTTTGTTCATCTAGATTGATTACCAGGCAATCCTAAGAGCCGTTAAACCTTATAATTTTTTTTATACAATTTATATCCATTTTTAAATGGAAATGAAAATTTCGTTAACAAATAAACAGATCGTAAATAATTAAAATCTGTTTTCTGAATAAGGGGCGGAATAGTGTTATGTAATATGGAAAGCCAAGCTGAGATTTTATACGAGTGTCTGAAAACAGTGATTATAACTAATCTAGACAGGACCATTTTTAAATATCTGGTGCTAAAACTTACTTAGATTATCCAAGCTGTATTAAAAAGGCGGTAATTTTGTTTGGATCTACGAGGGGGAAATATTCGACAGCTTTTTAGTTACCTAGTTAAGTAACACTAATATTCTATAAAAATAATGTAATTATCGATATTTATAGTTTTTGGAGAAACATCATTTCATTTGTTCGTCTTTTATATACATATATAGCAAGAGTTCGATATTCTGTCTTAGAATAAAGATAGTCTTTCTGTTTTTAGCTCTTGTTTGTTTTCATTGTGTGAACGGGCCTTAATTTCAACACAGTTGAAGTTCGTGCATAAAAACTTCAGACAATATTAAATAAAAACACAAATCACTCTTCTAAGTTGCAATTTAATGTCGTTAAGTATGCGGCTTTTGAAAAGCTTACAAAAGTTTCTTTGCTAGTTGACCTTTTCTATTTCTCTTGTAGAAAACCCCTAACTCATATATTTACCTGTTAGCTTAGCGAATATTTACAAAATGTACATGGTTATCTTACAATTAATATTAGCTAGTTTCAGTTGCTGCTCCAGTTACTAAAAGTCTTTTCTTACGGATTCAAAGTATAATAGTGCCTTATGTAGTACAGAAAATACAAAATTTGCTGCCAGCAGCATTGGGCTAAATATTTCCTGACATCTTTTTACAAAACCTTAGAATAGTTTCCGAAAAGTAAACCGAAATTCAGTTTAAGAATCAAGATATCTCTGGGGTTGTCTATGTTCTCATGGTGATCGTTTGGCCGACTGTCATGATAGTATCCAGGAGTGTATAATACCTGCACAACGAAGGATATCAATCAATAAGGATAATGCTACTTGACGCTTAAGGATATACTCACGATTTTCGCCCGGCGAGAGAGTTATATGTATGTCCTCACGACTCAGCACAGGGGCTATAAGTAAACATTTGGCCAAAGCCCACACACATTTATATTTTGCGTTTTACCAATCAACGTGTAAGGCAACAACTGGCGAAGCTTGTGTAAATATTTAAATAACGTTCTTTATTTATTTTTAAGGTGGCTAAAAATAATAAACTCTGTTTTTCGTTGGCTTAAAGCTAGTTAAAACGGTTAGATATTACGGATAGAATAAACGGCCTGAGGCTGAGGCGATTGCAATTAATTAAAATGAAATAAAATAATTTAATTAGGCCGCGGTTCCGTTCGCTATTGTTTTCGCCTTGCCCATGTCTTTCAGTTTGAGCCATGCAGTGGATAATGCACCGGCCTGCCGCCTACTACATAATTTAAATGCTATCACAGTTTCAAAGTCGAGCGCATGCAGGAACAATCGGAAGCGAGCTCATGCACGTTTGCTGCAGCTTTTGGGTTATGTATGCAGGGCGTACGGCTGCTGGGGCGGCTGCTGTTGCTGCTCAAGGGTGCCGGGGGGCGTGGCAGCAGCAGCGGCCCCGCCTCCGCTGGGAACAATGCGTATCATACCCGGCTGGATCCTAACGTTCTCACAGGCCTCGCAAATATTGAGTTGCGGATGGTTGCGGAATGTACACATGTTGCAGGCCCAGGAGTCCAGTGTCTCCTCCTCCTCGTCCCCATCGGAGTCGGACAGGAATTCCTCCTCCTGCTGTGTCTGCTGCAGCTGTTGCTGTTGCTGGTGCTGCAGCTGTTGCTGGTGCTGCAACTGTTGCTGGTGCAATTGTTGCTGTCGCTGCTGCTGCAGATATTGCTGGAACTGGTAGTACTGGGCATATGTGGGTGGCGGCTCCTGCTGCAGCTGAAAATGCTGCTGCTGCTGCTGATGGCTCTGCTGCTGGGGCGTCAGGCAGGCCGAGGTCGGAGCACTGCTGTGGTGCTGGCCAAAGTCCAGGCTCACCGGTTGGGCGGTGGGTGCTGCCGGCACCGAGTGCAGACGCAGTGAACTGGGCGGCGCCTGGACGCGAGCACCTTGACGCTGGCGCGGGAATGGCTGTGGCTGTGGCTGCTGTGGGGCATTGCTGACGGGTGACGGATGCTGGCGGTTCATGGGATGGGCCGCGGAACCAGAGCCATTCGCCTGCGGTTCTGTGGGGTTGAGACGAAAAAGAAAGTAAGTATTGAAAGAACGCAAGTTGCAGCACAATATCCTTACCGTTTATGCAGTCAAGCAACCGCTTACAGTCCTCAGTCAGTCGCATGATATCTCTATCCAGTCTTTCAGATTCGCCCACCGGCACCGGCTCGGTCAGGATGTTGATCTCCTGCTCCAGGACCAGCAGCCGCTTCTTGTTGTCCCTCAGCGCATTGGCCAGCTTGTCGCGCCGCTGCTTTTGCCGCTCGATGGTGGCGGCATGGGCTAAAATAGAGAGAGGTAGAGGAAAATTAATGGATCAATCGATTGCCTTTGGAATGTCTGAGTTTTCTTGGCCTGGTAACAAGTTGCCTGCCTTTCGGCATTTTGCATTTCCAAATCTTCCCCGCAGCTAGATTTATTTTTACTGTCTAACGCCTCACATTTTATTACTCTGTTTTGTTGCTAAAAATAATTACCCCACCACCCGCACGGCTACCACAGAGCGGGTGGGGTTCATAAACAGAACTTATATTTAAATAGATAAATTTAGTGAAAATGCGCAAGCAAGCACAACCAAAAATCAATCTAATAATAATTTATTCCTACGAAAAAATAGGTAAAAATAAATGAATACAAAAAAAAACATAGACAAAGTCTTTTCGATGCATTCTGTGTTTTGATTTGGGCGACTGTTCATCTGAATATTTTTAGACGCTTGATAGATTTCCAACGGAAATAGCCAAGAGGGCAGTGGGCCAAGGGATCTCCGGATCTATATCTATGTTTGTGCCGAATGTCACATCATTAAAGATCTTAATTGATAAGTTAATTCCTTAATGGCCTTTGCATTTCTGAATTCCAAAATGTTCTGGCTAAGTTGAGAACTTTCCGACAATCTGAACGACATTTAAAGTGTTTTCTCGTGATTGCGTCGCGTGATTAAATGTCAAAGTGTAAGTGCCTTTGGGCCCACGCTGCGTATGCTTAATATGCTTATACCTTAGGTGATCAAACGGAGAGATTTCCCGTACCGCTTTTCTTCTCTTTTCCTTTGTTTCTCTCTGATCTTAGCACCCACACATTTCGCCCTGAACTTGAACGTCTCGCCGCGAAAACAAATTGAAAACGTCGCAGAAAGAGCGGCAAAAGCAGAAAGCGTATAAATAAAGCGGAGAGAGAAGGTGCTAAATCGAGGAAAACATGGCCAAAGCCAGACAAAAGACATTTCAATCTATAGGATACCGATCGCGTGGGCGTTTGATTTGGATCATATTTGGTATATGTATATATGCATATGCCAAGGGGCAATTGAAATGCAACAAAGTAAGGACAGGGAAGATTTAAAAACTGAATGTATTATGTATAGTTTGGCAAATTATCATAGATTCGATAAAGATCATAAAACAACTTGCATCACCAATATGACGATTGCATGGCATATATGAAAACTCATATACATAATATGGCTATCTGTTTGTTTCACCATTCTCAATTAAACACTATCGCTTGTTGATAACTGATTCTGTCTCGTTTTTCATGACGTCAATATATTATTCCATTGGTTATAAAATGCGTTTGCTTTATAATTAAAGTTCCTTACTCATTGTCCACTGATTTTAAGCCCGTATCTTGTGAACACACCCTAATATCGATCATGACATCGGGTAACCTCTTCGTTGTTGCGCCTTGAACCCTTCCTTTGAAGCCATATAATTCTGTCAATAAGCAACCAGCGACATTTTCCACGTTTGCGAACCATAAGACGGCCCAGTTCCCGCTAATTCTATTTCAGGGCGTAATTCAATTTCCTTATCAAGTGTAAACAATATTGGGCGAACCTGCTAACTGATAACCAAACTGAGGAGCCCAACTACGACGTCGTCTGGTCGATAAGCATTGGAATCCAACGCGCGTTGGTACACAGTAATAACAAGATTGGAGGGACAGATTCTGTTAACGAATCGCGGGATACCCTAGTCAAATTATTATATAGATTATTTTGATCATTTATAAGAAGAGTGGCATATACTAAAAATGGATTAAAGTAGAACGATGAAATTTGCACATCACTTAGATTATTATTCAAAGGATATTCCTGCAACCTTATATCAAAAGTCAGGCTTTTCGAGTTATACGTTTGCTTTAAGAAAAAAGTATTTTAAGAAATACTTTTTAACTAATTAGGATATTTTTGAATGACTTTGAATTTAATATTTTATTGCAGTGAACTTTGCTTTTGCTTCTGATGAAATTCATTGCTAACACAACTATTCGATGTTTGCTTCTAGGCACACCAGCTGTTTCATAGCCCATATCAGACTCAGTTCAAAAAAGTGTTTGATTAAAATTAAGACGATTGTTTGCATAGAAACAAAACAGATAGACATATGTATTTAAATATCACTCTCTGCCTTGCAAGTTTCTTATAAAATGTATGCTACCCCTTCCTAGGGTATAACAACAGAAAATGGTCATAAAAAAAACACTTGACCAGGCACATGTGCCCCATTAAAGCCCGAGATTCCTGCTATACAATGTACCTAATCCCTATTTCAGAAAATGTAAACCCACCTTCGCGATCGCACTCCTCCATGACGCCTTCGTAAAGTGGCATGGTGGGACTACTGTCTACGCTGCTGCTGATCCCGCCGTTGTTATTGCTGCTGACGGCATGGTTGTTGTTGTAGTTGGAGGCCACAATGTGGTTCTGCTCCTGCGTGGGATAGGGAAACACGTCCGACGTCATTTCGGCGTCCCCAAGTCCATCGGCCACGAGTGCGGCCGGCGGCGGAGGTTGCTGATTTGCCGGAACACTGACCACCGGCTCACAAGGAGAGGCGTATGGATTCCTCGGAC